TTTAAGTTCATACTCACAGTTTGGATATAATAAAAATTTATTTAAAAAAAAAAATGTATTCAAAATACAACATACACACGCACTCACCAGAAAAATTATGGTAATGTCATACACAAAAAAAAAAAAAAACTGACTGCCATCCCATAATTTCAAAGAATACAAAAAAAAAAAACTGAATTGAGTTTTATCTTTCCGCAAAACAAAATAAAAATAATAACAAAGAAAAAAATTAAAAATCGTAAAAACAAAAGTAAAATGACAGCAAAATACAAAATTAACAGTTATGTTTTTATATTTTTATTATACCTACATTTCTCTTACCTTTTTTATGTTTTTCTCATTTTCATGAGGTTACCGTTATCATTACCAGTTCATCAAAATGAAAGAATAAGGAAAAAAAATCTATGAAAATTCATAAAAACAAATTAATAAAGTATTTTACAAACACAAACACAAAAATAATTTTTTTTTTTCTTAGTTAAATTAATGTTAGTCACTTACTGTACAAAAATTCATTAACAATGCTAATGCAAATTTATTTTTTAACGATGGGTAACCGGCTACAAAACTATATAGTGTTATCGCTACCATTATAATCTCACTCAACATAAGAACATAAACGAGAAATTAAAAGAAAATTTAACGAAACAAAATATTTGAGTTTTATAACACTATGGTAGAGGCAAATAATTTATAAATGTATGATAATATTGAACATTTTACAAAAAAAGGTATGTGAAATTCTGTAAATTTCAAAATGTACTTTATGAAACTTTGAAATTTTGAATTTTAAATTATTTAAGTTACAAATTTTATGGTATTATGTATTTTACTTGTAATATTTTGATATATATATTAGGTTACATTATTTATAAAACAATATACTATCTAACCTCCTAATAGCTACTAAATCTTGAAACGAATTCTTTTAAAATATATATGAATTTTGTATAATAACAAAATAAATCGACTTTTTCCTAATATTTTATACTCCTGCAACTAAAATATCCAAAACATCTTAAAACATCTTCTGTCAAAATCAAAATCAAGCTAAATAACTCTATATATAATAATAAACATTAAACTCGTGTCACTACTGTTAATATCTCACCTTTCTCAATCTAATAATTTGAGAATTATAATATAGCTGTAATAAACATTACAGCTAGAATTAGAAGTTAATTAAAACTTAAATTTTTAAATTAAACATAAATCATTTAAAATTTAATACTTTAAAAATTTGGCTCGTAGTTTTAGAAAATTTTACTCCCTAAGCAGGATTAAATGACATACGAGTATTTATCGCATAATTATGACTCAACTTCGTAATAATTTCATATCGTTTACTTTATTGTTTCTTTGTTCCAAATGTGCAAATGTTCCAAATTACAATGATTTCAATGATATCGATTTAAGTTTCTTAGCCATATTTATGATACGGACTTATTGCAAACTAAAATTTTATTGGACCATGAATATGAACCATGAAAAATTTTGAATTAATAAATATTATTTACACCTATACCTATTAAGTGTTCAGTAAATCTGAAATTAAAACACGGTACTTGTCAAAAATCATTTACATTTTAAAATTGATAAATAAACAAAGACGCTTCCTTTATAATTTTCATATCAAAAATATCTGATGTAAACAGCACATAGCTGCGGTAGCATTGTTGATTAAAATTATTGAAATATCCTTTAAAAACTTATTTCAAATTCTTTGTAAGAAATTGTAAGAATCCTTTAGTATTTGGGCGTAGAAATTTTCGCCAAAAACTAGACATGTCAAATTTCGTGCCATCACATTAGGAAAATTTTGTGGCTTATTTTGTGCAATGCTGCCAGTAAAAACTTGAATTTATTAATTTGTAAAATAACAATATTTCTTTTAAAGTGGCTCTAAAATTTTAAGTAAAATATTATGAAACCTTAATAAAATTTCTAATTACTTAAGTTTTGCTTATCTTAACGAAAAAAAAAATTGTTTTAATTAATTCTTAATGAAAAACAAATCTAAATTGGTATAAGCTTATAAGTTCAATAAAATTTTTCTCAATTATTGTGCGCCTTCATTTAGACTTGCAAAAAAATTTAAAAGCTTCTTTTTTATTTTATTTTAAATCTACCATACCAGTCGTGTGTATGAATTTTTTTAATTCAGTGATTTTTATTCACGCAAACACAATAAATTGATTGATTTTGATTATGCAATTTTTTTTTTCTCTTTTCACAAAAGATTTTATAAATTTTATCTGAATATCTGCTAAATAAAAATTGATTATTGAATTGGTATAGTAGTATTGGCACTTTTTTCTTTTTTTGTTTTTCGATTCAAAAGTATCGTTCCTTATCTGATTTTATTGAAATTTCTTTCAATATTCTTTACTTAATTGTTCAATCCAATTATTTTTTCAATTTTTAATTGGATTGCAACTTCCTAATAGTAGTTCCTTAGGTACATGCTGCGTATACTATTTTTATCATATTCCGCAGACATCAGATTTTCACTTTATCAATTGTTAACAATAATTTAAATGAAAAGTTAAAAGGCGAATAGAAAAAAAAATATCAAGTTTATTTTAATCTGTAAAAAATATTTGCAAAAAAATTTTTTTTTTCTTCTGTTAATTAAACCTTGAAAATCAGGTTTTATTTCACTTGATTTAATAGGCAAATCATAAGAATTTTAAAGGTTAAAATATTTTTTGATTTGAAATTTTAAAAAATTCTTGAAGATACAGAAATATTTTGGTTGTATAGCGGAAAAACAAAAATTTGGGAAATGAAATTTAATCATTATTTTTAATGGTTTGTTGACCAAAATAGGGTCAAAGATTCGTTAGGGTAATGTCATTTTATTTTTCCTTGGAAACGTGTACATTAGGTAAGTTATCGTAGTAAATTAAATGGCAACGAAGTTAAAAAGTGAAAAATTAAATTAAGTTAAATAAATTTTTTTATACTAATAAATATTATTTTTAAAAATTTCTAAATATTTTTGTTCGAAGAATACATTATTTTAATTAATTAGTAAAAATTGTTAATAAAAAGGACCCACATTTTTGTAAAAAGAGTTTTATCACACAGGTTAACACGATTGATCTATTAGTCTATTATCTAATTTTTCCGGAGTGATTTGTTACAGTTGCCCACATAAAATCGAGTCAGTTAAATTGAAATAATTAAAAGTCAAGAGATTAATTAGTTTTATAGCTATACTACATAGATACATAGGTGATTTGTATTAAAATAAATAAAAAATATTTTTAATTCAATAAATGTAAATTGTCTGATTGAAAAATGATTGTACAAGTTCATATTTCTAGTCATTTCTCATTTACTCGTTATGCCTAAGGTAGTTGCAGACTTTTATATATGAATATTGAATTAATAAATTTAAAAAATTTGATTAGGGCAACTTGAAATCTTTTCTCCTTCTTAAACACTAATCAGTTCAGAAAATTTGATTTAAAATTACTAAATTATAATATTTCAAATTCCTAAACGCCGACAGGTATGCAATATTTCCAAGAGTATCTAACACGTTACGTATATTGGACACAAAAATTAAGTAAATTTCTCGGTAAACCTGCGTTAGTAAGTGGTGAAAAAACCATAACAATATAATTTTAATAATAGAAGATTCTTATTTCTGAAATCGAAAGAATAAAAAGAAATTTTCACAAAATAAAACAAAAAATTGAGGATCATATAACAATTTTATACAATTTTATCCCCAGTCTCTTTTATCTTTTAACAAAAAGAGCTCAAAACCCACGTATATTTGCATATATTTAAGGAATAACAATAAAGAAAAGCTGATTCATTGATTGTCATTCTTTTTATCATTGCCCCATAGGCTTATAATATAGGAAAAAACTTTTCCTTTTCTTTCTTAACAAAAACTTTTCTTTCAAAAGAATTTTTTTTTTTTTTTTTGAAACGCATAAGTTATAAGAATCTATTGACACCAATAAAAACTCAACACAATCATATATATTTCTTCCATATAATATATGTATACGTTATAATATATGAAAAAAAGTTATATAACTTATATAACAGTAAACGAAACTTGTTGCCAATGATAATGACTTTTATACTTTAAAAATGATTGTTAATTTTTTGGTCTTATTTTTCAAATTTGGTTGATTATACATGATAATATTGATGATATTTGGATATTCCAGACCCCAACTAAAGGTATTTAATATTTTATGTTCGGAACGCTATAAATTTAGGATAACAATTAACAGAGTGTTTTTTAATTGAGTTCTCGTGCAAACTAGTTAAGAAATTGAATAGAATAAAAATAGATGGCAGTCAAGTTTTTATATTTTCTTAGCTCTAATGAGAACTTGGGATTATACAATTTTTATATTTCATAATTTAAAATTAAGTCTTAGTACATTTTTTTCTTAATTTTGTAATTTTGAATCTGGATCCAAAACAAATTGGTTTTATACTTCATTCAGCAAAAAACTTTCGTAAAAATTCGGACTATTTTCTAAAAATGAGTCAAATTTTTTGGGCTCTGAAAACCTAAGACAGAAACAAATACGAGTTTAAACTTCTCTGATTGTGTTTTATGTATTCATTTACAATCTTATAGATAAATTCTTGCTAAATATGGTTCTGAATTATAAACGAAATATTATACAATATTATTTAACCCATCATTTATCATTCTTATAGTTTTGAATTTTCAGAATCACATAACCATTACTAATTTAACATTAAATAGGCGGTATTTATTGACAAAGTCATTGAATGAAAACTGATTTATTGTAAAGAATGTATATATTTACATGTGTATATACATAGATAGTTTATATATGAAAAATGGGAAATGGAAATTTAATAATTATTTCATGTTTTGTTAAACAAAAAGTTATAAACCGAACCAAAATAATTTATTTATAATGACTTAATAATGATTGAACATCCCTTTAATTTTAATTCTGTAGATTTCATGAAAATTTTACCCAAAGATGAATTTGTAATTTTTGAAAATTTTGTATTTATCATTTTAAGAAAAAAATACATTTAAAAAAAAATTCTATAAATCCCAAATTTTACTATTTTGCTATTGCTTTATTCCCATCTTTTCGACTTGCAACTCTTTCATTTCTCATACTACCATTCTCATTATATAATTCTAGATTTTTTCCATAATGCCAAACAAAATAATCAAAGAAAACTCCAATTAACGTCAGACCTAAAATAAGAAAATGAATTTTCAATTTTATGTCTCTATCTACAGCCTTTTTTTTTCTTTTTACCAAATCCCGTAATATTCAAATAGTAACGAAATTTTGTTTGATCATAATATTGACAATTCCCATATTTTCCACATTTTATATTCCATTTTAAGCAAGTCATATCAATTATTCTTCCATATATTATAGGTCCAGGAATAGATGCTAATAAACTAACTAATGTTAAAATTAATCCTTGTGCAATAGATTTATCTTGAGATGGTATTGCTCGAAAACTAACTAAAATATTGCCAATTTTTCCAGTAGATACTAAACAATTAGAGGCCATTGATAAAATTGCAAATGATATAAATATAAGACCACAATTTTTTAAACAATGCCCTGATTTTAAAAATCTATTTTCTGCTTTTATTTCTTTTACATCATTTATAAGACACTGACAATTTGTATAGGCCTAAAATTATACAAAAATTCAAAGCCATTTATTAAATCTTGCAAAGTCATCAATATGTAAAAAGTAATATGTGTGTATGTATATATAAATTTAATTTTGTATTATTAAAATTTCTTACCTTCATTGTTGAATTCCAAGTCTGGCAACCGGCATGACAAGGAGAAAAATAAGTAATGTCAGTTAATTTATCACAAATTGGATAATAAGTAACATTTCTGGCATTGCATTGACATTTCATATTACAAGGCGTTATGAAATTTAAACTAATCCAAAAATAAGGAAAAAAAGACCTTTTAATTAGAAAATTGTTACATATAAATTTATGTCAAACTTACTTTTTACCGATATTTTTGATAACAGTATCTTCACAATATATAAAAAAATGGCTAACTATAAAACATAAATGAATAATGCCAACTATAATATTCCATGTAAGTAATTTACTAGCATTCGGTTTCCTCTTAGAAATTGTTACACCTGAAACAATAAATCCAATAATCATACCAGCTACAATCATTGGTCCAATAATTATTGTTGCATCACGACGACTTTTAAAAAATTGTACTTCCATAATTTTCGCCAGAAATGTCATATAACCAAGTGCACCAAGCAAATAAAATGTTCCCGAAAATATATTACACATTAATAATCTATTACGTAAGATTCTAAGTAAAGTTCTCCAGAAATCTAGAAAATTAATATGAAATTTTAAATATAATTTAATACACTAATAATATTTACGTTTCATTTACCTTTAGTCATTTGCATATTATTTTTTAATTTAAATTTTCTATTCAAATCATTTTCGATATTTTCCAAATCAATTTGACTATTTTCATGTTGCGGCATAGTTTTTGGAAATAATCCCATCAAAAATGCAAAAATCAGCATAACGCTACCTAAAATAATCCATCCAAACCACCAGGCTCCCAACCATCTTGGATCTTTTGCATTTATTAAAGGAGTTTTTCGAAAATCGATAAATAAATTTAAAGAACCGTAACCTTAAAACAAATTATTCCAAAAAAAAATTTATCACACACACATACATACTCGTACATATTTAGTAAACATTAAAATTTTTATTTCATTATTACACAAAAAAAATCATTTGTTATTTTTTTAATATTCTTACCCAAAAAGAAACCAATGATAGGTCCAATCATTCGTAGTGTCATCGCAAATGCTAACATTAATGGAGTTTTTGTTTTATTTGTATTATCATCCAAATAAGTTTGTCCTAAAGCATAATAAAGAGAATTCCCAATTCCCAAAACAAATTGTGAAAAAAACACTAAAACTAATGGTACCACATACATAACAATTTCATTTTTATTGCATTCGAATTCATTGGAAATCTTTGGTATGATGACCAATGACGATAAATTATTGGAAAATGATGGTTGTATTCCGTTAGGAGGAAATGTTGATGATGACGCGGATAATAAAAAGCTAGATATCCTTTTTGAATTGCATAACGCCTGATTTCGATTTGAATTTAATTCAGATGAATTTTTATTGAAAGTATTTATCTGAAATTAGGATTTTGGTGTTTTATTTGTTTAGTGGTGCTTGAGTAGAAATTTTTAATTTAATTTTTTTTTTTTGTTTCAATATGTTTCAATAGATAGGGAATTTACAAAATTTTTAATTAATTTTTTGCAAGCAATGCTGGCTCTATAATTAATAAAATAAAAATAATGCCTATAATAGTACGGAATTTTGGGAATTATGAATAATATTCTAAAATGAGCTTGCTTTCCAAACAATATGGGAGCTATTAGGCAACACACTGAATTAGAACATCGAAATTTTTACTTCATTTTTTTATAACTGTAGGCGCTTTGTTAAAAATTTTGGCATATTTCAAATTTGAGCATACGCCATAATTAAATTGAATTTTAAAGACCCATAACTTTAATTATCCCTCTTAAGTCTTTCTTTTCTTAATATATTTCGACATCTTTTACAAGTATGATACAAAATTCACCAAATTAATTTTTGTTAATTTTTTGATTATTTTTTTAAGTTAGCCAGTTACCAAATCAGTGATTACAAACAACTAAATTGAGTTTTACGTATTAAAGTGTCATAAATATACTCTTAAGTAAAATTATCAATAGTTTTACCTATCTTTTACTAGAATTTAACCAATCACCTCAATAAACTCTAAAAGTCTAAAGTAATCAACAAAATATTTTGTAGAATTAAAAAAGGGCAATCAAATCTTAGGGTCTAATCGCGTATCTGGCTTTCTTACTCTTCGAATGGGAAAATGGTGGGTGAGCTATATTTGTATAAGATGATTTTCGAGTTAAAAGAATTTTTTCATATTGTGCAATCCCGTTTTTTCTAAAATGTACACAAAATTTTGTCACCACTTACCAACTCGGTTTTTGTTTGGGAGTTCATTTTTGAATGAAAATGAATAAGAGGCGAGATATACGATTAGACTATTAATTTTAAATTCAACTTTTACTATAAATAATCGGGAATTTTTGAAAAATATTTAATTTATTTAAATTTCATAAATCGAGAAACAAGAAAAAATTGTTGAACAATAAAATATTAAATTACAGTGTGTTTTACAATTAACTCAAAATTTTGAGCTTAATTCACTCGAAACACCAATTTTCTCAAATTATAAAATTCTTTCTCAAAAACCACTGAAGATTATACAAAACATTTTAAATTGTAAACAAAAATTTTGTCATTATTCCATGAAATTATATTGAAATTACTTGAAATTATATTTTTATACACTCACCATATTACTAACACTATCACTTGTATTTCGCAACAAATACTCTTGTTCATTATTCGGTTTTATAATAAAATTTTTATTGTAATTAATATTCTCATTTTCCACTTCATATTCTTTTGTTAAACGTAAAATATCATCGCCAGCACCATAAATAAAATGTGGTAATGCAATAATGAAACATGACATTGCACAAAATGTTATACCCCATGATATCCAACGTGGACGATTACGTTTTCCACCATAATATGATAAAATTATTGAGAAAAGTATTTGTGAAATTTCATTTCCACTCAAAATAATCCCTAAATGTTTGAATTATTTTTTAAAATTAATTTTATCAAATTTTTCAAATTAAAGGAAAATATAGAAATTTTTATTTTCTTTTTTTGGAAATTTTATTATTCTTTTCTTGTATCTTTTTATTCTTGGTTTTTTACCTGTTGTTTCACTTGGCATTTTAAAACGTTTTTCCATAGTTGTTAATGTTACAATTATATACATATGAGACATTGCTTGTATAGTACCAAGTAATCCATAAATAGCTATATAAGTTTTTGTGGTTGCAAAACGTTGAATCCATTTCGGATGATAAAATTTATAACCGCAAAGATAATCAAGATGTACCATAATGTAAAGTGAAATTTTAAATTGCAATCTATATCTATTTAATCAAGATTATGTATAAACTGTTATAAAATATATAAACTGTTATAATTTTTTGTTATTATTTCGTAGTAGAATATGAATGCACAATCTATGAAAAAAAAAATCAAATGGTTTCATTCACGCTTTAATAGATTTGCAATTCGATTTTTTTTTTACATGATGTTCGCGAATCAATCGAAATTTTCAAACTAAATTGCATTTTCAAGTGATCTTAGAATAGAATTTAAATATTGCAAATATGAATTGAGCGGAATTCTATATCTTCTTTTATTAATAAAAACATTTTTTTATTGAAATTCTATATGGAAGCGTGCTTAGGTATGTATAAGTAATAAAGTTATAAAAAATCTATAAAATATATGTACAATTAATTTGTGTAAGTACATAAAATGAAAACGTGTAAATTTTTAGAATTATATTTAAAATCAATTGAAAAGATTTTAATTGAAAATTGAAAGTTAAAATATTTTAATTGACTATACCTTAATGGAGTACTACTGTGATATACAATCATTGATTTTCTGTTCGTGCATACAGAATGAAGACACTACAAAATCTATATATACAAATTTCATATACTTAATGTGGGGGAAGCTTATAGATAAAACCAATTATAGAATTTATATAATCTCTTATTGTTCTTGATTATTTACAAATTGATTTATGAGCAGTTTCGAAAAATAGAGAAAAAACTTTTCATCAAAAAATTGTGATATGCCAAAATTTAAATCCATCCAATAACATTATTCAAAGCCCTCTTATTTCTATAAGTGCATAGTTCAATATAATTCAAGTGTAATTGTAATAGCATCATAGTTATTTTTAAAAGGAGTGAAATTTGTAAATTTTTTAGTGTAGAATTTAAATCAAAACATTTATCTTTACACTCTCTTTGACGTAACACTTCAAATAATAAAATTGAATTGTTCAAAATTAGCAAGGATTTTCTGAGCCGATAATAGCAACAAGATATCTTAGACAAAGTTGCCTCCTTTTATCAGTCCCGTTTAACATATTAATTAATGAAATCATGAGAAAAATAAACAACTTAAGAAATGGGATCAATTAAAATTGCTTCAAAACGCTCTTTCCAAAATGTTTATATGATTCCTTGGACACACATATGTAAATATGAAATTAAAATTAAATAAGCTAAAAGAATGTTCGGCATAAATTTGTCAACAAATAAATATCCGTAAAACAAACACCATAATGCGACAAATTATCTAGAATTTAAGATGTTGATCACACAATTTCCAATCCATAGGCCACATATTTAGTATACCAGAACAATCCATAACCAAGTAAATATTAGAAAGAAAATCCTAAGGTAGACGGAACCTTAAACCATCGTCAGACCTTGAAAGTGTACATGAAAAGTAGCAGTAGAAATGGAAATAATAATCCCAGATCGATCGCTCAAAAAAGGGAAAGATAAAAAGGTCTAACCGAAGCGCTACGCTCCTCATACCAATTTGAAGGGGAAAAAATCTAGGTTTTTTTATATTGAATATAAAATTTCGAAGTCATTTCATTTTTCAAATAATAAATTTTTTTAATAATATCCCATCACTTCAAATGGTACGTGATGTTTGTCGCAAAAATTTCAATAAGAGTATTATAGACCCCAGGTTATGGGAGACTGAAATTTTAGCAGCTTTTAGACACTAATAAATAGTTCATTTCATTAGAAGAAAATTTTTTTCCATCTCCACCCCCTCTCAAGTTATGGCCTCTTGAAATTTGTAAAATTTGAATTTTCGGCACCTTATATTTCCGAAACTGCAAGCTCTTTCAAATTTCTATAAACGCAAAAATCTAACGATAAATTTCATGACATTAAAAAATAGAATTATTTTTCTTAACTCACACAATTAACCTTTAAATTCGAGCATTATGTTAACCCCTCTTTAAATTAATTTTTGCTTTAATTCAAAGATTGCATAAATCGTTCATCCTAAATATATGCAATCCTTGAAATAGTTTCGTATGTAAATGAAAATAATTTTAATAGTGAGGTGGGTATACGCAAATTGTATTAAAAGCATTATTTTCACTTGTTGAAGGGAAGAGTGCTACAATGCAAACCATTGGTTTGGCCCAACTTGATTATATTAAAATCTAGGTAAATGACCATAAACATCATAAATTGAGACAAAATGATAGACAAGAATAGATTAAATATGACAATTAAATGATGAATTATAGATTTATTTCATGAAGATTCAATGGAATCTTATATGCAACATAAATAACCGAGCATACAACGGCAACACTCTAGCTTCCTATAAAATACTCATTTATTAAAACATTGTTATCTTGTAAATTACTAATCGAAGTAAAGTCAATTTAATCAGACTTTATATTCCAACCAATTACCATAAAAGTTTTAAATTAATTTTTCTATAATAAAAGAATTAAAGTAATTAAAGTATGTAATTATGTAATTGCAGCATAACTTTTAAATTCCACGCTTTATTTCAATAAAAATTCTGTACTTACAGTTTAATTCTTTTTTTATTTTTATAAGTGAAGAAATAAAGCAAAGCTATAAAATTATTTTAACAAATTAAAATCCAGGAAATTTTTTTTATTTTATAAAATAATTAAAAAGGAAACAAAAAGGAAATTATAAAATGTTATTCAAAAATTAAAAAAAAAAAAAAAAACAAATAACCAAAAAATTTCTTGTGTTAAAACGTATATGTACGTATTTGCTGAAAATGGGAACAGGAAAATCACAGGACATGTTAAAACAAAAATTGTGTATTGTGACCTTTTAAAATTCATATTTTACACTAAATTATTCAAAAGTGAAATATACGAAATGAAAATGGGGAATGCAACAATTGTTGAATTTCCTCTCCTCTGAAAAGAAATAAAATTGGACAAAAGAATATGTAAAGAGAAATAAAATTTTTAATTTACAAAATAAAGGATAATGATTTTTAAAAAATAATTTTTACAAATTAAAATGAAATTAAAGTTGATAATTTATTAAAATCATTTTTAAAAGAGCATATGTAGTTTTGGTTCTATGAAGAATTTTTTAATTAAGTTCAATTGCAGATAATTCACTCAGATTTTTAGATATTACATGTATAAGAACTTTAACTATAGTTAAATATATTATATTTGAATTATAATTAGAGCTATATTACAGTTTTATATCCCCACTATATTTAATTTCTCATAAAATAATTGGTTGTTTAAGCACGACTCGAATAAATTGTATTATTTATATACAAAATCAAAGTAGTCCTTTGAACTAAACAATAGTTCTTATTATTGTACCAGTTTAATAATTTGATAAGCTAAATTTCAAACAATTTATAATATTTAACAAAAGTTTTAGAAATCAGTAATTTATAAAATTTTCAAATGCCATCAAATAAATCATAAATTTAAAATTTTTTCTTAAATTTTAGGAAAACTGAATTAATTGAGGCAGATTACCGTAATATAGCAAAAAAATCTTATATTCAATATTTCTTATTTCATATAATTAATGATAATAGAATGAGAAAATGATTTACTGGACTATATAATAACTGTATTTAGATCCTAGGAAATTTCCGTTTTTCGCCAATTTTATTATATGAAGGGATTATATAAGTAAATCGTGAGAATTTTCACATTTAGACTTGCTATTGTTTTACGATAGAAACTTAAATTTAATTTAATAAATGAATAAAATTTTTCAAATTTAGCAATTTATTGTATTTCAGTGAAAATCTTAATATTTCGTTTTTTTTTACCAAAAAAATGGTTCTTAAAAATGTCAACTGCTTTCGAGAATTTTGATCAAAAATTAAAAATATTTGATAATTATGGCACGTAAAATCAATAAAAATGAAAAAGCTCGCAAAAATTTCTGGAGTTTCTACATTTTATTAGAAAATTGACATACCAATGGTTTTTGACACATTTTTTAACGTTTAATGACTTAAAATAAATTGCAAAAACTTTCATTCGAAATTATTGGACTAAAGAAACTAAAATAATAGAAAAAGAGCAAAATTTGATATTTTCCAAAATTCGAATGGTTGTTTTTCCGAAAATACATATGCAAAACAAAATCAAGCGATATGTTACTTTAACAGCCCTTTACTAGCCCCTTCTAAAATTTTTCTGGAAAATTTCTATCTTTTCTGGAAGAAAATAAGCAAAAAACTTGAGAAAAAAGAAATTTCATGAAAATTCATTAAAGTTCTTGTATCTCGGAAACCATTGATACTCGGCACTTTTTATTGTTAAATAAATGAGTAAAAATTGTTACTCATTTTTGATGCCCTTAACTTACAAGATAGTATATGTTAAGACACTGATTACTAAATCACTCTGTATGCAAAGTTTATCATACAATTCAATAAATTGTTATATTACTACCAACTACATGTATGTATATGTGTGATACAAAATAATAAATAACCTAGGAACTGCAACTAAGAAACCTTTAGAATGAAAAATATAAATTCATTTATTATGTAAACATTTTTTTTACTTCACAAATATTTTTATAAAAATTATATAAAAATCTGCAATATTTTCTCACCTGACATATAAACTATATGAAATATAAACTATGAGGCATCCCTTCGGACTCTCTTAAATTTTGAGTAGTTTTGACACCATCATTTAGGTATTCATTTTAAATAAAATATATTTCCAAAAATTATCTGAATTAACTGAACTGATTTATTATCCAAAATTTTTTTATTTAATTTTTGAAAAGGCGCTTTGAATTTTAGAAAAGTTATTCTCAATTTTACTATTAATATTTTGAGAGCAGATTAAAATAAATTTAATTTGAAATCAGACGTGAATTAAGTTTTTCTCTGTATATAAAATATTTAAAGAAAATGAGCAAGGTATGAGAATAGAGAAATATTGAAATAAGGTCTCTCAACTAATATTTTGAGTTAAATTATTGGAAAATTTTAATCCCTGAATTAAGAAACAGATATACCAAAGTTTAATTACCAAGAATTGTGTATATCGTTTACATTAAATTACTTACTTGGCAATTCAAAAGAGAAATTCACACTTTTCTTATGGTAAATAATACAAAAATAATTTAAGCATAATTTTGGTTCATTCAACTTGTTAAAAATTTTCATTTTTATTTTATATTTAGATTATAACTATAATTTTGCATTTTT